ATTATTGTTATATGCCTCAGTGTATTTAGAAATTTAAAGTTTTTAGTGATCAATAGCCTCAACGTCAGCCCAATAGTCGAATAATTTCGCGGCATATATTACATCCAAGATACTACTTTTAATCTCATCCAGAGTTGATAGAGTGGTAAATAAGTAGAAAATATTTCTTGATTCACTTTCTTTGACCACACTTCTTCGGATTACATTACCTCATAGTGAGGACCTGAGACGATAAATAATAATGATTGTACACATGTTAATTAGTTTACTAGTTACTAGCCCGTCCTAAGTCCAGATAAAGAGAGAAGGTTGAACATAGATACGGCTAGCATCCCTATCCCGTAAAATCAATCTAATCGCTAAAGAAAATCCAAAGCACAAAGAAGTTATGAAAAAAAACACCTATCCCTCGCTGGAACCGGAGAGACGAAATGACGGCGGTTGGTGAAAGCCTTCGGAAGTCAATTGGTCGATATGTCTTCCCTCTCTCGATGAAAGTAAAAGTTAGCATACGGACATGGAAATTCTAAACAATGTTTGAACCTAGCAAGGCTGCCCAGATTGCAAAAGACATGAGAAGGTATAGTATAGAAGTGACTGAAATCTGAGAAAGCAGATGGAATGGAAGTGGACTCTCCAAACTCTTAACTGGCGAGTCAATAGTCTAATCTGATACTGTCACCCGAACGACAACCACGAGCACACTGAGTTTTCGAGTAGCTATCATGATGTTTCTAACAGCACCAAAGGCTGTCATGCAGTAGGAACCAATCTCCTCCTGCAGGATCAGGATCACGACAACAAGATGGATTCAAATCAAAAGGAAGGAAAGTCACAATCATATAATGCTACGCTACGCTATGCAACTACAAATAATGTAGATCAAGAGAAGAAGGAGGAATTCTACAGATAACTCCAATCAGTACAGGACTCCAGTTAGCGACACCAAAATTCTAATGGGTAGGGTGACACGAATGCCAAACTGGGAGTGGACAACACAGGTAGAGAACTAATCACGGGTCGAGAAGCACTCGGTAAAATGAAAGAGAACAGAGTGAAATGGACACGTGCTACTAAAGCCCTATATTCCACCAGGAACCCAAAAGATAAATAATAATAATACACGTCAGTATTCTAAGAGTAACTGTAGGATGTAATAGAGAGAAATAACAACCTTCATAATAATATTCAGTAAAAAAAGACTTCAGAACATGATTCGCAATTTTCAAGATTAGACCTATTAGCATACCAAGAAACTTTTCCGAAAGAAAAATACGTTTTCGTCCATGTACTCTGCCACTCCCTCGTTTCGAGATTGGCCTGCCCTGACTCCTAATTGGAAGATCAGAAGTTAAGGGGTAGAATGCGTTGAACTCTTCACTTACTTAGGAAGATACATCAATGTGAATGGTTGGCTGCTGAAAAAATATCAACCCAGATTAAAAAATCTCGTTTGGTCCTTCCTTGCTAACCTACGTCACCAATGGCAACGCTGAGCGAGATATCTGGTTATATATCGTGAGACGAGTTGCCACCCCTCAGTAGTCCGCTGTTTTATTTTGGGGGATAAAGGCTACTGGTTTTTGACCACTGATGTCTTTGCAGCATTATCGCAAAGTGAACAACGTTACAATTTGGCATATAGCACTAGGAAAGGAAGATAAGTTAGGTAATAAGGCAGCATGAGCACATGTAACGCATTGTGAGCCACTGCTTACTTTGACATGCAATGTTGGCTGAAGCAGAATTTGAATAAGAGACCTGAGAATAATAGGATGAAATGGGGTGCAAGTTCATACCCCATCTGATTCTGGTTGGGGTCCTCGAAACAATAGGGATCAATGTTAGACGACTCTTGTACACATAGGTCATAATTGATCACAAGATGAGTACACTCCTTGTCATTTTCAAAAACCTGAATAGTTTCATTATCTTTGTGTATTTATGTTCTCTCCCCTAATAGACTTGTCAACTTATATGTTATCCATCTTACTTTTACCCGCAATTTCGGAGTTTGGTAACTTCAACGGATGCACTTCTATGTTTATCTGTTTTTCAGCTGACTGCTCTATTGTGATCGAGTAATTACATTCCTTCCTCCTCTTCAAAGCGACTCCAATATGCATTGACAACCTCCCACAAAGAAGTCCTTATTCACTGTCACTATGTGACTACGATATTCCTCTGAAGTTTTAGTGTTTGTCATATGAATAAAATCTACCTGCAGGCGTTGGAAAATTCTGACTCCAAACCTGTTTTAATCACTTACAACAATGGGAAGAAACCTACTGATTATCAGTGGACAGTCTGTGAAACCATAGACTAGACATTTATGTTCAATTGAATGTATTCATAATCAACCTAAAAACCACTAACCATAAGAGGAATGACCAGAGCTAAGGCGAACGCTACCATCATTGCTAACGTAATCAACAAAAAAGTAGTGAGTCGACAACCTCACTGTCATTCATCCCAGGTTATGTTAACTTTGCTTCTGTGTTCAAGACGGTACTAAAGTTGCGATGTACACTGCATTCATGGAAACTCAACCTTGATGAATAAAAGCATTAGAATGACGAAGAACTGAGTTTCAAACACTAAACATCATAGCAACAGTAAATATTACCCGAATTCGCCTTATTTAAAAGAAGCCTTCAACCAATTTGATCATAGTGAGGAAAGATCATAACTTCAATCTTTGTTATTGTATGCAGTAACTATAACTTCAACTTCAATGATTTCGAAAAAGCCATCGATAGTGTCGACCGGAAGAAACTTGAAAACTGCTTCAAACTACGCTCATAGTGCCCCAAAACATTTACGAACCTCATCCAACAGCTATCTGATGCTACATGCCCAAAAATTCATAATGAGAAGATCATTGATGCCTTTGAAGTTGAGACAGGAGTAAGAGAAGATTGTCGCCTACCAACACCGATGATCTTCACGATTCTGCTCAACTGGATCATGCAACAAACTGTAAGTAGCGAGAAGAGGAGCATACGCTGGATCGACCGACGAAAAGACCTTAGAAGATTTAGATTTCACCAATGATGGTTTGTGTCTAATATCTTGTGACACAAACTCAAAGATCTACAGTCGAAAACTAACAAGTTGGCAGAAGAGGTGAGGCGGTGAAAGAAGACACGACTTCCTTCAGGTGAACGTAGAAAAAGACAACGGTGATGAAAATACCCAACCAACAACAAGAGGCACCAATCACCATCAATGGGAGGAACCTAAAAGAAGTTGTCTCCTTCACCTACCTAGGTAAGACGGCATCGTTTCAACTACAGGCAGCACACGTACAAATGAGGATGTCAAAGCCAGCATCAGAAAAACAACAAGACAGGACTTCCTCCATTCATCTGAAATCAGTGTGGAGATCCACTGCACTGCACTTCACTCCACTGCACTCAACATAAAGCGTGCTTGAACAACATCCGGATTTTAAACACTAATGTCAGTCAAGTGAGTCACTGCTTCTATGTGATGGTTGAGAGTCTTGGCGCGTTACGAAAAGCATTTCCAACAAACTACACACATTGATTACCAGCTTTCATCTACACTCATTCGATACAGAAGATCAGATCAGATCAGATCAGATGGCCAGAATAATAAGAAGAAGGAACTCTGGAAACGAGCCAACCAACAACCTATCGACCAACAAATATGCAGAAGAAAGTGGAAATGGATTGGATTGGGTATACACTGAGAAGACGGTTTGGGGGCGTGATGTGTCATGCCAGTGCCTCGAGTGGAATGCAAAGGGGAAACGACGAGTTGGGTGTCCCAGCTGAGGGTGATATGGAGGAGAGTGTGTGAGGAAGAAATGAAAGCTTGTGGGCAGTTATGGGTAAGGTTGAAAAGACTGTATAGAAGAGAGTGAAATGGTGACGTGCTACTGAAGCCGAATGTTCCACTAAGAACTCAGGGGACAAATAATAATAATAATACGAAGTCACATAAACTATAGCCTGATCTCATCACTTTGATGATTGCTGAAGCGTGCCGAAGTCCACTACTTTCGGTTGACTACCTTGTAGCTGTAAACTGACATGCCACTTGTCGGGAATTGATTGGAGTAAGATCCTCCAAATTCGGTCAAATACAGAAACAATATATAGTCTATAAGAAAGTGATCCTGATGAAATACGGTTATTTAAGCATCATGAATGGATTAATGATGATAGATTAAGACGTGGACATTGTGTGAAATACGCATTTACCAATGAAATAAATACAAACTAGAAGATAAAAGAAAGCATACAAGCTGAAAGATTATCTGATGCTCAACATTCAGATATATTTAGTCGAAGAATTACGCAGGTTGATTTCACTACTGATTTATGCAGCAACTTGTTTCTAGTTACGCAAACTCAATGTATCTTGGATTATCGGTATTCTTCACAATCGACGCACGTGGTCAACAGGATTAGTCTTAGTCAATTCACAGTGATCCCAACCCCTAGTTAGTCATAACGCTTACATCTACCTCGTTGTGATAAGACCAACTACAATTAAAACTCACTAATCATGTATCGATTACTTCAACCAGCGATCAACTAGCTAATCTATATCAAAGAGACTAAATAGGTGGGTTGAAACTTCCTACCATTCACTGGTTGAAATCAATGTGCCTAGTTCAATGAGCCATACCTCTACTCCAGATGCTAATTAAAAAGACTGACAAAACGCACCCACTTTCTGAGCATTTTACAGCATAAAAAACCGCCTTTAACATCATAATAAACGAAAACAAAAATAGCATGAATCATGTCTTGAATGATATATATTATAGGCAAGTTGATGGAATCGTCATTGGGTTCATCATTAGGTCAAATATTGGCTGATTTTTTTCTTGCTAAACTTGATAATAGACTACACTGAAAGATGTCATCGATAATCTGCATATGTAATGAACGTTATACTGACGACACTTTTATTGTCCTCGATCATCCTTCTCTCACTTTCACTTATGAAGAAGAAAAAGAAAATATGCTACATTTTTTAGATATCCTATTGATTAGAAGAGGAGATGGGTTACACAGTAGAAAGATGTACAGAAAGATAACATCTACGGGTCAGTAGATACATTTCCTTAGCTGTGTGCCTATTCCATATAATAAAAACGTCTAATTAAATATCTTGCAAATAGACCCAGTCAGATCTGCTCCAATGACTTTATACAAAAAGAGTTAGAACACATCGAAAATATACTGATAGTTTGATTAAGAGACATATGAACAAAATGAGTAAGAAATCCAATCAGATAATTGTTCAGAAGTAATCAATATTCATGAAGCTCCAATTTGAAGAGGACACACCTGATGAAGTTCTATTCCAGAGGCTACCTACAGCCATCAGAAGAACTTTCTATGCTGATAACCTTTGCTTATCATTTTCTAGTCGGCCAAAAATTGTTGCTCAGACAAAAGACAATCTGCCAATTATATATGCATTTATCAACTGTGGACAAAGCTATATTAGGTGTACAGTTAGGCAGTTTAACAAATGTGTTGTTGAGCAACCACTACCATGGGCAGCAAAGGGACAATACGAAGTTTAATTCTGTTACATTTGGTCAACAGTGGTCATGTAATAGACAAGACCAACGTGTTCAAAATCATCCGAAGCATTCCATAAAATCTTTCAAACAGAATTCGCACTCACATTTTACACATAGCTGAGGCTATGAAGATTAGAGAAAACAAACTTAGTCATTGTGTGCAGAAAACGTTTATGCAGCCTTTATCCTCTGCCTAGACGAGAGGCAATCTAATAAATAACTTCAAAGGTAAATTCAATTTTCATCCTTCACCCTTTTCACAGATATTCATTCATACTGGGTGATGATTGAAGGTGAAATGAAGACTTGAACCGCAGCCAGATCCAAATCAAAGACCACCGGGTTTCCGGCCCGATACTCCATCAACTGAGCTGCATACTTATTTGTTTAGACCTTGATTAAAGCTAATGGAAAACAATATTGCTCGCTTATATGTCAACATCCTGAATTGTAGACAACCGTTTATTACACCTTCTAAATAAGGAAATTAAAGTGAATTGCTAAGAAACAGCCAATAAAAATGTATCAGGTTGTAAGTGTAAGCCATTCCTTTACAAAAGAAGACATTATATATTAATTACATACAAAAGCTGAAAACAATAACAGAGTAATCGAATGGTAAACACAATAAAAACCAAATGAAAGGCGACAGAGTCGCACAAAACAATAAAGCTACAAAAATTAATATTATTTGTCCCTTGAGTTCTTAGTGGAACATTCGGCTTCAGTAGCACGTCACCATTTCACTCTCTTCTATACAGTCTTTTCAACCTTACTCCATAACTGCCCACAAGCTTTCATTTCTTCCTCACACACTCTCCTCCATATCACCCTCAGCTGGGACACCCAACTCGTCGTTTCCCCTTTGCATTCCACTCGAGGCACTGGCATGACACATCACGCCCCCAAACCGTCTTCTCAGTGTATACCCAATCCAATCCATTTCCACTTTCTTCTGCATATTTGTTGGTCGATAGGTTGTTGGTTGGCTCGTTTCCAGAGTTCCTTCTTCTTATTATTCTGGCCATCTGATCTGATCTGATCTGATCTTCTGTATCGAATGAGTGTAGATGAAAGCTGGTAATCAATGTGTGTAGTTTGTTGGAAATGCTTTTCGTAACGCGCCACGACTCTCAACCATCACATAGAAGCAGTGACTCACTTGACTGACATTAGTGTTTAAAATCCGGATGTTGTTCAAGCACGCTTTATGTTGAGTGCAGTGGAGTGAAGTGCAGTGCAGTGGATCTCCACACTGATTTCAGATGAATGGAGGAAGTCCTGTCTTGTTGTTTTTCTGATGCTGGCTTTGACATCCTCATTTGTACGTGTGCTGCCTGTAGTTGAAACGATGCCGTCTTGCCTAGGTAGGTGAAGGAGACGACTTCTTTTAGGTTCCTCCCATTGATGGTGATTGGTGCCTCTTGTTGTTGGTTGGGTATTTTCATCACCGTTGTCTTTTTCTACGTTCACCTGAAGGAAGTCGTGTCTTCTTTCACCGCCTCACCTCTTCTGCCAACTTGTTAGTTTTCGACTGTAGATCTTTGAGTTTGTGTCACAAGATATTAGACACAAACCATCATTGGTGAAATCTAAATCTTCTAAGGTCTTTTCGTCGGTCGATCCAGCGTATGCTCCTCTTCTCGCTACTTACAGTTCGTTGCATGATCCAGTTGAGCAGAATCGTGAAGATCATCGGTGTTGGTAGGCGACAATCTTCTCTAACTCTTGTCTTCACTTTAAGGCGTAATTGAGGTGAAATCAGGTTACACACTTCATACCTTAAAATGAGATCACAAAAGTCTAAGATATTAGGGGGAAAGGCATTAAAATTGGGGTTATTTCACTTTATTACAATACACAAAATATTTTTTTTCTAAAACTAAGGAATATAGAAAAAAAATTAATTGAAAAACACTTCTTGTGCAAAAGTAGGAACAAAGTGATATAGAAAATAATCATAAATTTGCCCTGATTGTTGGTTGGACAAAGTTAATTGAGTTCCTATCCCCGAGACAAAAATGAATCAGAAATCATTTTTGATATGTACATAGGGTGTAAGAAATGACTAAATCAAAGATATTATTTTGAGATCATATTTTAGCTACTATTGAGTAGTATAAGTTTTCAAAAGAAAAATATGACTATGCACTTGGTGGATGTTTGAATTGAGATAATTCATTCAACGCATCTGGATGACGTGAATTTATATCGTCAAAGAGATTATCTCTTTCAGAACTAAATCGCCTTTTGTTATAATCAGAGATTAAAGATTTTTTTTCTGGTGTACGCATTTGCCATTGAACTGTACAGCGTTGATTTGGTCCACGATATTTAGTTGATGCAATATAACTCTCTTTCACTGTTAAAACAACTGACGTCATAAGATTTTTTGCAGCTTGAATTAATGAAGTTGCACTTTCAAACTGGAAAAAAAGAAAAACAGAAATGTCAATGAGTAATAAAACTTTGTGACTATTTATACGTCGAAATCTGCCTCCTATCCAATATACGCTAATATTATCTATGAGCCTGGCTTCATCCCATTGCTGCAAAACATTGCTGTCACTGTGGTGAAGATTTGTAGCTCAAGATTTGAATGTTCTGGATGACTGGTTTTCAGAATTAGAATTATGGTAGATGAACGTTTCGATATCATGTTAGATATCAGCTCCAGTGTATCATAGCTTCACAAAGAACTGAATTAAGTGGTTGTACACATTATAAATATCCATTCACAATCAATAAATTCGCTACCCCATGAAACTCTGGTGCATTGAAGATGATATCGAGCAGGACACTGAAACGTCTACCAAATATGACGTAGCTCAGAGAACAAATAACTCTGAACAACTGTAACTCCCCGCATCGGCGACAATGACAGAATGGCAGTTAGAACTGTGAGGTAAGATGAAAAATCTAGTAAAGTGTTGAACTTAAAAACGTAAGGTAGTTAGGTGAAATGTATATTTGAGTTATATGTTCCTAAAAAGCAGATAATATAGAAATGAAAACTGTCCCACAAGCTTAAGTGATGAGTAACAATGAAATAGTAATGTGTATTATTGACAAACTTCAGCATGTTGTCACGTATATGTAATGAACAGGATGAAGTAATGAAAACGAGAAAAATCCATGCTGACACATGGACAAAGTAAACGTAGAACCTCATATACAGCTGTAACGGCTCAAGTTACTACATTTCATAGAAGTACATAAAGAACAGGTGGATAGAATAAGAGTGATACCAAAGTAGACAAAGTTGTGTGACAGAATAGACAATTTGAAGATAACGGTTAGTGCAAATATTCAAGATTTAGACGATATCAAGGAGTAAATACATCTGCACCATCTTGACCGATTACCAGACATGTCACCAACAGTCCTCAACCACTGATTCCTGTCGCCTCAAGAACCCCAAAAAAAACAATCTACATCGCCCCATACGGCTCAGATCAACAGTCATAGACTTGATCGAGTGGCACCACATCTTGGTGTGGCCACTGTGAACTCTTTTCCAATCTAATCATAGTAGGCGGTGGCTCAACATGAACAATACATGTCCAGCCATCTCAGTCGACTAAGATCCACAACCCCATCAATTCACTCGCCTGTCTTGTCCAGTACCCTTCCCCTCACCACAACATTGCTCACACGGTGATTCCACTGAACGGGAGCAATGTTATGAAAACCTTATAATCATTTCATGATGGATGGAAGGGACTCAAGCGCAGTATACTCATCATTTGATATATAGTTGGATATCTCCCCAATCAGCGCCAAACATTGAAAAATGCCAAGTGGGCCTTTTGTACTTCAACTAAGATTTCGTCAGCAACCAGAGCTTTCAGGCTGATTTAACTTAATGGTCGACATATTTCACCGCTTCACCGCGTCATTAAACAGGGAGTACTTGCAGCAAACCATTCCTGGAGTATCATCTTACATTTGACAGGTGACAGCGTCTTCGCCTAGCAGGACAATACTGTCTGCATACTCCAATAACTGAACCTTTGTTACAACGACCAGATGACTTGCATAAAACGTTTATTTTTCCTATGCCGTCGATGGTTATAAGATGTATGATAATCTCATGGGCTTAGAGATTAGCAAACACTATTCAGGAGAAGAATAATTTAGAGGAACAGTTGTTTGCAATAACTTCCTCTTCAGACTCTATAATTATAAATCAGTGAGAATAGGTGAAATACAATAGCTTAAGTACGGCATAATATAAACTTATTTCATCATAGAAACAGTAAAGGTTATATGGGTGAATAGAAATCGAATCAAATGAATGTATGTTTTTCTCAGGTCCAATGGTAATCAGTTTAGTGAGTTAGTTGTGCAGGGAAATCAATATGAACAGAGCAATCACGATATAGGCCGACAAAGTGGACGCACATATTTCTCTGAACACACAGACCATGTCTTGTTGCATTGATTTCAGTAGTTTCGTCTATATACGTAAGAGGCATAGTCGTACTCCTCTGGGGAAAACCACAAAGAAAACTAAATGTCATAGATAAAGGGTTATTAAACAACTTGAGTTGATATCCACTATCTACTAAATAAGAAAGGACTACACTGATGGTGGACTTTATCATTCTATTCGTTAACTAAGCTGCTATAGCTTCATGAGTGTGGATAGATAAAGCTCTTTGAGTACCGATTATATGTAACTAACTCCACAGGAACAGTTGAAGTCATAAATTTATAACTGTGAAGCCTGAACAGGAAGTTACTGAAAACAACTATTCATGTGAGTACATTGAACAAAAAATCCTATCAGGTTTAGCAAAATGTAAGAAAATGCTTCGATAAATTTGAAATCTGAAAATGTTAAGCGTGCAATATTAGTGATTTCGGCTTTATCTCCTTCATTAACAGCCTAGAAAGGCTATTAGGTAAGTGTAGACAATAGACCAAAAGTCACAAAGTATTAGAAGACATCTTCAACCTACTGTAATACATAAAAGTAGTATATTATTGTAATTATCCAAAAGATAAACATAGGCGTATAAAAAATTGACACCAGATTTCATAACATTTCCAAGGTTAATTAGTATGCAAATAGATGTAAAGTTTTGTTATTTTTCATGAAAGCCATGAAGCTTATTCAATGAAACATATAAGGCCGATATCGAAGTATACACAATTTTAGATGAATTGTTAATTAGCCATGGTCAAGATTCTCAAATCAATAATTCTGATAACCAAATAAGCATTACAATGTATACCCTTTAACTTATCAACACATGAAATTAAGACTGTGAATGACTTCAAGTGTATTCATCAGTGATTTTACATGGAAAAATGAAACAAGCACTATTTGTTCGAAGTGCACTGGCTACATTATTTTTATTCATGCATAAGTCTCTCTTATAGAGTGTAAACACATTAGGAATTAGATGAAAAATTCGCAAACTACTGAGATATCATATGTAACTTAATTGGATACTGCTCAGACGCTGGACTCAACTCGAGTACAGAAGGCCAACTTAGTATTTGTCAAGTTGCATCATCTGTAGTGCCAACGGACTATCTATAAAAAGAAAATTATACTGTGATGCAGTGCATTCTATCATGATATATACCTTTTAAAAGTCAATGACATGTAGCGGTTACAAAGTTTTAATCACAAGTGTCTTTGTAGGATTTCTCATGTAGGAATGAATCATCATGGGAATAATAACGAGGTTAGGAAAGAGGTACTGGGCAAGGAAGACAAGTAATTCGATGAAGTTATGAATCTTCATCAACTAATATGCTTTGAATATGGTTTGTGTATCCTGCTTACCTCGACATCCAATGTTAGACACCAAGAAGATAGGAATGAGTAGTTAAGGATTCTTGATGACATGCCTGAAAACTGGTCACAATGGTGCTGATGAATTCACTCCTTCACATCTTCTAAAACTTGAATATTTGCACTAACAGTTATCTTCAGATTGCTTATTCTCTCGCACAAGTTTTTCCACTTTGATATGTCATTTTCTACCTATCTGTTCTTTGTGTGCAACGGTGAAGTGTGGCAAGTTGAACCGATGCGTTTCTGTATGAGTTCCTACGTTGATTTTGTCTCCCTGCCTGTCTGTCTGACTACCTAGTTGGATACTAGATTGGCTAGCTTGAACTCATTACTCAGGCTTGTGACTAGGATACCCTTTGTTAACTCACTTTACAACACGATCCAATTGAATGAAACACAAAGATAGAACATATTAGCCAATAGTAAGCAGGTGTAGTAAAGAGACCAAAATAGTATAGTTATAATCTAAACCATAAAGTTAATTAACGTTGATAGGATGGTTAGCAGACAGTCAGGCTGTAGTTTTGTTTACCCTAAAAAAAACATGTTGACGTTGAAGTGTTAAAGTATGTTAATATACTACTGAAAAAAGGAGTGAGTAGTTGATTATCCAACAAAAGTCGGTAATGTCCAATCAACAAAATGATCCAGATGTGAATAGATGACAGCTTCAACAATCCAACAATCAAGATCTCATTAGTGATGTACTCAAAAGATAAGATATTTAACAGTCCACTATGAATGATATATTCTGTTACATCTCGTTTAAACAAGTTCCCAGTAAGGTAATAAGTAGCCATCTAACTCAGTTGAACCTCGAGAAAATTGCAAAAAGTTGAAGAATGATCAAGAAGCAAACGTTTTTAGTGAAACATATGTGAATCAGTATGTCTAGGCATCAGGATGTTCGAGCCCTTCTTCTCAGATATGTGCAAAAAGCAGATAAGAAAGTCTCGGGGGAAAAATTATCACGACTAGTCTGACATAGGCATCTTTGCAGATATGTGTAAGTACTTGACGATTGGATAGCTACCTTTTAAAATATACTTTCAAACTAAATGTATCACAAAGAGTGTGTAGCGTATATGTATGCACCTCCAGTCGTACTATAATCACACTCCTGTTTCGAGATTCAACTACTAGTGATAATGAGATGTCATAGCGTTCTCTGAAGTGTCTATAGTTAAAACTACCTAATTTATCCCAGCGCATTGAGTCCTCGAGATTATAATCCATGCTAACTTTGTTCTTGAATGTTTACTAGTCTACACTACATCTCATTCGTGATTACTATCTGTTGAGGGACTTTCTCAATATGATGGAAGTGAAGTCAAGTGAAAACGTTATCGATAGCTGGGGATAAAATTAATCCCCTAACCGACAACTCCATATTGAATAAATCTACGTTATCTAGCTTTTTTCAGTAGGTCACTCCACATTGAATACCAGTTTCAAATAATCTTCCTCATCCTTGACAAAGCTTGACCATTGGTAAATGATCTGATTGATTACCATGTACAGTTCATTATGGATGCAGATACTTTAGCAGATAAAACAACTGATATCAAGGATGCTGGTGTAAATGTGGGGGGGGGGTTGGATTTGGCTTTCCTAACTAATAATTAGGTCCCAGGTGTAAACCTTATGCCAAATACTTGGACCTGAACAACCGCGTAGATATCATAAAACCTTTGAGTCGTATCAAGAATGAATATGATCAGTGATATGTTTGTTGATTCTAAAAATTGTCCATCAGTATTTTAATGCTGAACCCTTTCTTTGTCGTAACCATAAAATCTTTAAAAAAAAAATTCCATCCAAAGAATGAGGATAGAAGTGAACTTTTATTGAAGAGTGTTAGTTAAAGACGAAAAGATGGTAAAAAACACTTCATAAGAAAACTTCAAATGTTTGTTCAGTCAATTTCAACTTTGTTACTGGAAATAAGACTGATTCGAAGGAAACATAATTCACACTATATCCAGACTGAACTAAAGTTCAATGGTCAATAGTGACTTTCCTCGAGATGAGATTTCTAAAAAGCTGACTAATGAGAAGTGGTGGCGACTGGGACAAATCAAGTTGGATGTGAAGACAATTATTCAACAATATCATCGGATAGAAGTGGAGTTACATAACGAATTGACATAGGTAGAAAAATATAGGCAATTGGATTCCAATCCAGTAGATTAATGGTAATTTGGTTGCCATGATACCTGAGGGTCATAGGGTTCGACCCCCTAACGGTATTATGAGTGCTCACTGCTGAGTAGTTAGAAACTACTCACATTGATCTCTAGATTTCGTTAGCTACATCCAAACGATATAAAAACCGTTTCGCTTGTTTTTAGGGCTCATCAGTGGTGTACCCAAGCAAAATCAGCTCACAGAGCCTAGTTGACTGATATTAGTTGAATAACGTGGAAATGATTTACAAACTACACGGTCCATAGTTGTACTTTTCATGGCTGAGTAGATTTTTCTGATAGTTCATGACAATTTTGTGTTAGAGATCACATCTTATGATCTTGGCTGATAAGTGATTTCAGACGGAAATCCTCATAAGAGCACAGTTGACCAGTTGAAAGACTACTCAGCTGTAAGAAATATCAACGTCAACCCTGTGCAGTCGATAAATTGTTCACCTATTGATAATCATATTCAAACTTTCATAAATCACTATAGTGTTCAAGATATATTATCATTCAACTTTGTGAAGTTCATTAGAAAACATTATATTTTTGTATGTAAAAGATGATATAATCTTTAGAACTTACAACTTCATCACTGAGCATATGTACACCAGCTTTCACTCGACTTGTAATACTCAACTGATGACAGTAGAATGTAACACGTTGTAAATAAGCTGAAAGATCTCGTCGACTAGCTGAATCAGGGCACATTTCTGCAATATGTCGACAGAGACGATCTAAACGTTTACCATGCTCTGAAATATCTTGAGCTGCCTAAATATTTTTCAGAAATAAAAAAGGTATATATATATATATATATATATATATATATATATATATATATATATATATATATATATATATATATATATATATATATATATAAAGATTAAACTGACTGTTAAATATTTGATGCAAGATTCATTTAAAGTAATTGTTATGATATTATTATTTGTCCCTTGGGTTCCTAATAGGATATAGGGCTTCGGTAGCACGTCTCCATTCCACTTTATTCTCTGCAATCTTTTCAACCTGGCTCCAAGACAGCCCAGAAGCTCTCATTTCTTCCTCACACGATCTCCTCCATGTCACCCTCAATTCGGACGCCCAACTCGTCTTCTTGACAATCATGATCTTCGGCTGATCTGAGCCTTTTCTTCACAATAAGGCTACGTAAATCACCTCTAAATGGTAATGAAACGTAGACATTTTTCTTAGGAATGGAAATAATGTATACTTTTCAATGCAACATAACTTTTGCACAAGTAGACATTCTGTATTAGTGTTCTCATCAGTAGGTTGGTTTCTTCCTTCTTCGTGTCATCGGTGCAGATGTGATCTATACTGTTGAATAAGTGCCTAACTAAACTGAACTTGACAGTAGTTTTGGGAACTCAAATATTGTCCTGTCCAAGTTGACTTCTTACGGGTCGATCTAGACAAGTTATCCTATCGTCAATTAAGCACTATGACTAACAATGGTAGCTGGTTGTTCGTCCCCTCTTCTTCACAGTTAGGGAGTACGGTAATTTCACTGATAAATCAACTTTATAATACAATGCAAGTGTAGTGTGCTGAAATTCATACAAGAGTACAGGGAAAAAAGGTTCGCACAAATTTGATATAAGAGTGTTGGTGGTTTATTACTACTTCAGTCTTTTGTCGCAAATGTCATACAGAACAATAATTGTAATGGTGGAGAATATTTATAGCTCAGGTGGATGGTATTGGTTGTATCATATTCTCTGAGTTGGGTTGTTTAATCGTCAACCTCCATCGTCTTTCTAAATGATATCATCAGCACTAACTTCAGTATGAAGTGAGCTGTCAATATCTCTCCTTGAGTGATTTAGTGGCTTGCTCTGACGATGTGGTCTGTGATTGGTTGTTTCTTTTAATTGTTGTGTCATTGACTGTATAGACTTTCCTGTAGGCTGTTTCTCTGCTTGACCTCTGACCCTTCTGTCGTTCATCATTTATCTTATTGGTTGATAGATTGGGTCTATATCTATACATCTGTTGATTATTGAGTGACCTGAATCCCAAGCGTATAGGAATTCTCTGATATTCTCTTTGTGTTTCCTCTCTCTGTCCAAAATTTCTACATTGTCGAAATTGAATTCATGTCCATAATTATCCACGTGCATTGAAATGAGTGACGAAATGTCGTGACGTTTAATAGCCAACTGATGCTCATGTAGACGAAGGAGAATAGGGGGCGGCCACTTTGTCCAGTGTAGTGTTGACTACAGTGATTGCAGTTGATTTTGTAAATGATATTCGGTTTGTCTTCTTTGCTTGTTGCATCCATTGGTTTGCATAATGAGGTTTGGAGGGAATCAGTTGGTTTATGAACCACACCAATTCCAAATGGTCTCAGTAATCTTGTAGTGATTTCTGATATATTCTTTATGTATGATAGGATGATGTGTTTATTCATTTCTGTCGATGACTTTGTAGTTTATGATGCAGGGGATAGGCATCTTCTGATAAAGTTTCGTGGGTAGCCGTTCTTCTTCAGGATAGACATCCAGTAATTTTCTTCGTTTCTCCGTGAAAAGAATACAATACAACCAAGACATTAATTGTAAGTCTATGAAAGACAATTACTAAGGTTTATATGTATTAGACTGTTGTTGGCCTTATCGTATAGAGACGAATCACATAATAGAAAGTACCTTCTACAGAATCGACAAGTTCAGTTGGTGACTGAATAGCTGAAGTATAAGGAGGAAGGATTTGAAGGGTGAAGGCGCATACTTCTAACCAGTCTAAAAGTATAACTACATACAGAATATCACTCCTTACTGGTCTTCTTAAGTAAGCAGTAATACTGACCGTACACACCTAGTAACTATAACCTATAACGTAATAGTTCTGAATGAACAAAAATAAATTAACCAAGTAGTACGTACTTGAGAGATGATACATTTGTTTTGACTGAACTTAACCGTCTAGCCAATGGTGCAGTCGGTTTCGTACTAATGTTTATGTGTTGAAATAGTCACAGATACGTAGGAGAGATTAAACTACTTTTCTGAAATTTTAATTCTCACAACTCAAAAATGTAGCCCCAGACATCACCATATTTGAATGATTCAATGATAATGGTCTTTACCATGGTTTATGCACCAATGATACCCAGCAGTTTACTCTTTTCTTCCGGTAGCAGGTTTGGACTGTTTGTTTTTACTTTCATCGGTATGCATGCTAACTTCTGAAAACGGGCTGATCACAAAACGGTAACCAAGAAGCCACCCATTCCTTAGTGCTTAGCACTGATTCAAGTCTCTGAACCAGGTTTTGCATATGGAGACTAGGCGAAATGTTTTGGTGTCCGCTAATAGGAGTAAGTCGATAAAAAGACCTGATTCCTCTAAGTTTTGTGCTTGTTGGTACTCAGAAACAAGAAGTATTCCCGAACAGGAAAAAACTGATGTCTCCTTGGTGACTTTAACCTGCGTCGCTTGGTGTTGAAGTCAGAGATGCGACCATTAAGCAACTGAGGCCACGATTATCCCCCTATACAAGTGGATCATCAGTGGATAACCCATGTAGCTATCTAACCTTCAGTGTTTAGGAGTGATCGAGGTCTATGAAGGGAACATCCGTTTCCTTATGGTTGTAGATACACCACCTCGCTGATAAGTACCAAAAAAACAAGAAATCTGTATCCAGCGTTTGAGGTCAACATAGTTTTTAGAGGAAGCAATGTCAACAATAATACAGAATATTTTATTACAGTTTCTTCAGCCTACCTGAATAACATCAAGTGTAGAGCGTAATGGACCTTTACCACGTATAAAATCTGTCATTTCCATCATAATTATACACATTTTCTTAGCTAATATAATAATATCATTAGCAGAATCATCCCATTTAATAATTTCACGCATAAAACGCTTTTTTTCAGCAAGAAATCCAGCCAACTCTTCAGCCATTGTTTCACGTTGTGGACCAGTTAGTACAGAGAATACTTCATTACGTTCAGATAATTGGTTTTCTTGTGCAGTTTGAATATTTTCATCAGGTGAATACTTTGATGAACCTGTTGTACATTGAAAGCATCAAAATAAAGTATATATATATATATATATATATATATATATATATATATATATATATATATATATATATATATATAATTTCAATTAATAAATAACATACTAATTAATGAAGAGATTTAGAGAATAACGAGGTTGGTTTCACTTAACTCGATGAGTAGCATTTCGGAGTATCGCTCAAATTACGGAAACATCCTATTGATGATGTTGTTCAACAAAGGAGTTAATATAGTTTGGCAGCCAGAGTGGGCATTATTAAAATTGAAGAATGAATATTACTGTTCTCCATTCAAATATTATCAAGTTTGACAAGAATACCGAATGCCTTAACTTTGATCCAAGTAACCAAGAGTTTTCAAATGTTCATTCTTAATATTTTCATTATTACGGCTTGAGACTTCATCAAATGGTGCCAATATCTTCATCTAGTTACCACCGGCACTCTTCTAACTTGACTCTAAATCAACCAACATCATTCATCGATGCGGGAGACAGTTTGACATGCAAAACATGTGTCTGAACCACATCAATCGATGTATGTATGCAACATCATCGTCTTCTGAACCTAATACTCCATGTCTTTGTAATCTTCTTCTATTACACCCTCAACAACCAAATCTCACCTTTGAATAATAAGTACCATAGAGTAGATTACTGCACAGTGGATTCGTCCTCGGTTAGCTGATTCTATTAGTCGGAAAATGAAAGGATTATTAACACAGTCAGACAGACAGAAGAAATCAATGTAGAACTTCGAACACAGGTATATTGGCTGACGTTACCACACTTAACAGTGGTATACAAAGAGCAAGTTGACAGAAGAAGAGCGATGACAAACTGGACAAAGTTATGTGAGACAATAAACAATCTGAAGATAACAGTTAGGGTAAACATTCAAGCTTCAGAAGATATCAAAGGGTGAATATATCTGCGCCATTGTGACCGATTTTCAGCCATGTCATCAACAGTCAACCACTGATTTCTTTCGTTTCGGAGACTCTAATCAGGCAGTTTACATCTGCCCACAGGACTCAGACTAACATCTAAAGACTTCATAGATTTACGCAACATTTGAGTCTGGTCTAGTTGTACTCAACAACCACATGCACGTTCACGCAGTAGGAAATGATCCACCCCTATTGTGTAAAGGCTATTCATGATACTACCTGGTTACCCAAAACTTGTTTGGGTGGAGTGAAGTTTAAACCTGTTGACCCATCAGTTGAAATTGATTACCTAGACGAATAACCCACAGCTCCACAATGCTCGGCTAACTAAAACAGTCCTTGACGAAAGACTTACGGAGAGGAACCCAGTATAGGGCAATAGAACAACTTTATCTAGATGATCAACAAGAAATCAAGTATTCAAAAATCTCCACACATTCATGAACACTATTCATGCATTGTATGATGTACATAAGCTCCAGGAACTATATCTACCTTTTCAACTAGTCTACAACAAAAAATGAAAACTGATGAAACCTTACACATTTTACTTACCAGCATTGATTGGCCGACTTTATCTGAGGTGATTCTAGAACGAACAAGAACCAGAAGTATTTCTAAATATCAGAAGGTTTTGCATCTCATTCAATCTAACATTCTTAACATCCTAAGTAAAAATTTGTTCTGAGAGAAGTAAGAACTGCCTTCTAGTACTACCTGGTATTACTTATTAGTTGATGTCAGTATATCTGTTAGCTGCTAACAAATTTGAGTGCTATGCCTCTACAAAATTCTTCGGTATTCTCTGTATTTCGTTTGTCCAGGATTTCTACAATTTCCTAGACGAATTCATGTCCACAGTTGCCCGTATGCATTGATATGATCATCATCAATATTGACATAGGACCAGGCATTACTGCGTAACGATCTGAGTTGCCACACCTCATATCAATACATCAAGTAAAAAGGTAGTGAGGAGCAAGATGAAGATAAGAAAATTCAGTCAAAAGAAATATAAAGTACGAAAAGAGAGAATTGAAGAATGGGAAAATGGTGAGATTCGGTATAGCGTCGTTAAGATGAGGATAGTATGTGTGGGGATACATCTGCACCACTGACATCGGTTCCGAGCCATGTCATCACCTAGAATTAGTCTGCAACCACTGGTTCCTCTTGTTGCGTGAACTCCAACCACCTAGTCTGCATCGCCCCATATGGCTAAAACCAATAGTCAAAAGCTTCATACATTGGTGGCATGTTTCAGTCTGACCGCCTTGGGCCTTTTTCCAGCCTGGACCCACCTCAGCCAACATTGTGTGACGAGGAAATCGGTGACTAGGCATACGTAATATGTGTGCCAACTATCTCAGCTGATGAAGGTTCATGACCTCGTCAACTGATTTACCTCTTCTCCCTAAAACTCTATACCTCACTTCTGCATTACTCATGTGGTGACACCACGGAACACGGCTTATACTACGAAGGCAACGGTGGTCAAATACTTGAAGCCTTCTCATATCTTCCACCTGCAATGGCCATGTTTCACAGCCATACAGTAAAACAGAGGGGACTGCTGTGCAGGGCACGCGATCCTTAATACACAAACGAATATCACGGCGGCGCCATAGGTGGCGTAAAATTGGCGAAAGCCAATCGAGCCTTTTGATATGAGCGAAGATATGTCAGGATGCTTCAATGTTAGTTGATACTCATGTATACAGATTCGATGAGGGCAACCACTCTGTCCGATATAGTGTTTTCTATCATTCTATCAGGCATTATTAACAGTATTGACATGAATATGATTCGGTTTCTTTCACATGGGTCGTATCGATACGCTTTTCATTACCTAAGTATGGTGTGTAGCTATGATTAACCACGAAGGATACTCGACTGCCAACCAATGGGTCACGGATTTATATCCCGCTCTATGCAGAGGGATTTAGGCAGCTAGGTAGTATCATTAACCGTCGTACACTAGTTGTGACTCACTTACTATTGCTGTTAGCTGTAAGATTTCAAATATGTAAAGATTCCCATACCATTATCAAAAAGCAACAATCTGAACAGTGAATATTCTTTTCGATAAATATTCTCACCAGCTTCTTACAACTACGAAATCCATTTGTACATGGTAAAATCAAGCCAGGTTAGGGGTAGATGCATTTTTAAAATGGAGTGAGATTTACGGACTATAATGAAGTCGATTTTCCTAATTAAATTTATCAATATTAAGATGATACATATACACAGATGAATGATGTGATGCTGAACGAAAAGATAACGAATAAGAAAGAGAGAAGTGACCTTCAGTTTACTAAAGGTCAAGGGAGGAATAACACTTGAACATGATCTTTCTGAATACATAATTAAGGTTTGACAAGAAAAGAAGACGGCTGTATACTGAGAAGTGGATACAGAAAGCCAACATCAAAGGTACAGTATACATACTTTCTCAGATTCGTGTCGATAAAGTACAAACGTAATATAATCAGGTGCTTGATATTTAGAGTAAAATCGATTTCTTCCAAGGAGTGTATCGAAGAAGAACTACCGAAAACGTATAACCGTATAAGTTCATCAAAGCTAACATCCATTACATATGTTATAAAAGAGAATTATTGACAATGGAGAAGAAGCCTTCGTTTCTGCATTTACAAGTCAAGAGATATAGTCTAAGTGATATCCTAGGTAGACCAGTCAATAGGACGTTTTACGTAGGTTCGCTTTGCATATCTATCAGTAGTAGCCCAATGCTCAATCCGAGACTAAAGGACAACTTGCCTAATTTAAGCTCTTCATCTTGCAAATATCAATTTAACTATTTCTGTGAACAAATTTACATAGTGTATGACTAGGCAGGTGCGTCTCTAGACATGAGTGCATATACTGGCTTGGCTAAGAAAAAGCGAAGTGAAAGTGATGAAAAGGTTTTTCCTAGCGCATCTAGTAGAAACAAGGGATCATACAGTTGCTAAAAAAGCTTTCAATGTCATTCATCCAATTCCAAAAACAATACCATGTGCAGCTTGTCAAAACCTGCTGAGGCTGTCGAAATAAGATTCATCAACCCCGAACTACGCACGAAGAAATATCATGTTTAAGCATCACTCCCCACTTGGTCTTCAGTAAACCAAAGACTACTCTTCTCTTCGTCATTCGTTGTCTTTTCGTTCGCTATAACATTATTCACCTGTGTATATATGTATCATCCCAACACTTAAAAGGAAAGTCAATTTCTTTACAATGCCTAACTCATATTACATTTTGACAATGCGTGTGCTCTTATCTTGATTTGATTTTATGCAGTACGAATCCATTTTATAACTGCTGAAGCTGATGAGAGTAATTAGTGGAAAGAACACTCTACGTTCAGATTGTTGCTTTTTATGAAGTTAACAGTGTTGATCAATTCGGCGGAGGAAATCAATTTCACAACAGAATACAAATCCGCTGATTGGAATTTTAACCATATGACACAGGAACACTGGTGTTTGTAATCCAAAGGGGCCACTGACTGGTCACTGAAGGGTAACCAACTTTGTATTGTCAAGTCCTATGTGCTGATCGAATCCTATCGATCATTTTCCAATATGGTCACCAGGTTAGAGGGCTAAGCATCACCAACTGATATCTATTAAGTGCATGGCGATGCTGATCCGCTTAGCCTAGTGGCCACATTACACTTAGGACGAGACAACATGAAGTTGGTTATCCTCCAGTGATCAACCAATATGTCTAATCCAGTCCTACAGGAGGTGAATCGCGACCCAACTAGCTACAGTAACGTTTCTGGCTGCAACACTGAGTGACGCGGGTTCGAATCTCAGGCGTGAAATCAGCTCCACCAGGTTGTAGATACATCTTGCTGATGAGTGCCAACAAGCACAAAACCTAAATCCAGGGCTCCCTGTCGACTGCCTCTATCCAACTAACATCTACCAAAAAGGGACACTGCGTATGTTGATAAAAATCTTCCTCACAACTGTTTGATAAGACTTCTTGACACACACACACACACACACACACACACACAC